CGGGGGGCGCGGGCGGCGGCGGCGGAAGGGCGAGCGGAGCGCCGGGCTGGCGGGGGCCCGGGGCCCAGCGAGGCAGCGGCGGCCGCCGGCCTCCCCGGCCGAGGCCTCTCGCAGCCGCTCTTTGTGTCGACGCGTGGACAGGGCCACGTGATGTCATTGCTCCCCTGGGCCGGGCAGCAGAGGCGGGATAAAGTCACCTACCCCGCGCCCTGCCCCCGCCCCGCCGCTCCCGCGGCGCGCGGCCTCCGCTCGGCCGCAGCTGCGGGGCTCCGGGAGGCGGCGCGGGAGGCTGGGACGGCGGCTGGGCCGAGCTCCGAAGCCGCCGCCCTCGGGTCCGCCCGCTCCCGCAGGCGCCTTGCGGAGGCGCAGGACTCACCTGCCCCGGGCCGCCGGCCGCCAGGCGAGGGCGGATTAAGGTCGGGGGTGTCCGGCTGCTAGCCTTGCTTTAGGGCGCTCTGGGCAGCACGGACACCTAGGTCCGGGCAGGGTGCTGACGAAGAGATGTCCGTCCGCCTTGACAAATAACAGCAGAAAGTACCCTAGGTGAGAAATCTTCCTCTGACCGCTTGTCTTTCACCCTTGGAGACTGTTATCAAGGATAGCACTGATGCAGGTTTTATGGGTCTCCCTCCCTTTGGCTGCAGAAAAATTTGTAAAATAAGCAACCGTGTATTCAATGGTTTCCCCACCCTGGGTAACCCTGAAGAGCTTGATAAGGGATTAAATTTAGGGTCGTATGCATGGTAGGCAAGAGCTCAACCAACAAGCTACATTCCCAGCCCCTTAAATTCTTGAGGTTGCTGCTGTCCCTTAAATTCTTAAATGCAGAGAACAAGAGCATATTTTGGAGAAGCTTGTGATTTGCACACAAATCCTAACCAGAGCATGGGCAGTTTTAGTTTAGAGGAAATAAAACAAAGACATTAAAGATAGAGGATTCTTCACCATTAAAATGCAAGTATGCCTATAAGAACGAATTTGTCCCCCAAGACAGCAGAGCCTGGGGTGCTGATGAGAGGGGCTCCCATCCTGGGCTTCACCCTCTTGGAATATACAGGTAGTCCAGCCATGCTAGTCAACCCAGTGCAGTGACAGAGGAGGTCATCGGAATGACACCCTGCACCAGGGACCAAGAAGCTGCACGAGGCCTTGTGTACCGGAAAGCAAACATGAGTCGAAATTGATAAATCTTATATCCAGAAAACAAGTTAGAGATGAGAGAAATTTTAATATGACCATCCCACAGGGCCACTTAACTGCAATTCATTTCCACAACGTCTCTGCTGTCCATTGCGGCTTCTCACAGTATCAGAAACTTGTTGAGTATTACCTGGTCTTTGACTCAATATGGTTTAAATGTTCAGAGATACTCTACAGTGAACACCTAGCAAGTAGAGGTCAATAAAATCCCACACGAGAAACCAGAACAACGTCTTAATCTGATGCAGGTTACAGTTTAGCATGACGCAGAAGACAAAAGATTATTATCACTATAGCCAAATATGACGAAAGGAGACAGTAGCCTTTGAAAAGCCAACACACCTAAGAACCAAGCACACTTTCAGGAAACAAGGAAAGCATCTATAACCATTAAGGCAAGAGCTACGCAAGCCTTTAGCCAGCTTTTCATCCAAGGTCAACCTAAATCTGACTTAGAAAAGCATCTCCACAAAGGAGCGCAATCCAGCTACAAGGAGAAAGCACCCTGAGGCTCCAGGCTGAATTCAGCAGAAGCTGAACAGCCCAGCTTGGGGTCACACATCTTTAATCCCAGCACTTGGGATGGGGAGGCAGAAGCAGGCCGATCTCTGAGTTTGAAGCCAGCCTGACCTACAGACTGAGTTCCAGAACAGCCAGGGTTACACAGAGAAACCCAATACAGGTTACACAGTTTAACCAAGAACTGGGGAGACTGCTGCTTTGACTTCTTCTTCCTTCTTCTTCTCCTTCTCTTCCTCCTCCTCCTCCTGCTTCTTCACTTTGTTGAGACAGGTTTTACTCTGTGTAACCTTGGTTGCCCTGGACTCACTTTGTAGACCAAGCTGCCCTCAAACTCACAGAGATCCACCTGCCTCTGCCTCCCTGAGTGCTGGGACTCCAGGTGTGTGCCACCCAGCCTGGCTTAAAGAGTAGTTTCTTAAAGCCCAGTGAACACTCAGGTCCCAGATTTGACCAGCAGTAGCTGTGCAGTCCCATCCCTTATCTGAAGGCAGAAGGCTCAGAAGCTAAGGCTGGGCTTTAGCACCTCTCCTAGGCTTCACTAGTCACTGAGATGGTGTGAAGGGTCCAGGGTCAGAGCCAGCACCATCACTCCATCCCTACCATCATCACAACCAATTTTGTCAGTTTTGTTATTTCCTCCTGGTCAAAAAGAATGGACTATACCTCTGGCCCTGGGTGGAAAGAGGGCACTCTAATCTTTCTCTGAAGAATAGAACATTTCATACTATTTTCTTCTCCCTTAAGTATTAATTCATTGAGCTGGAGAGATGGCTCAGATGGTAGGAGCACTGTCTGTTCTTCCAGAGGTCCTGAGTTCAATTCCCAGCAACCACATGGTGGCTCACAACCATCTATACTGTAATCTGATGCCCTCTTTTGGCATCCAGGCATACATGAAGATAGAGCCCTCATACATAAAATAAATAAAATCTTAAAAAAAACGTTAATTTATCTTGACCTGTCAATCACTTGGCCGAGAGACCACCCCCTCAAGAAGGCTGATGTTAGCACCAATAAAATTTTCCCAGAGTCCAAATGACTGTTCTTAAGTTCTCCTGTGAGTAAAACCAAGAACCCGAAGAGGGATTCTTAATCTCCCCTATAATAGTATTAAAATTGCACTTCATTGAGAACTGGTGAAGTATTTTTCTTTTTCAAAGTTAACTTTCCTTGAGGTGTTGAAAAGGTCGGGAACTAATTAACTGAGCACTTGCCTATGTAGTATTGCGCTACATAATTTTTCAAAACAAGCTTTCTTAGGCACACGGTTTTCCTACCCAAGGAAGTGGCCTGTGGGCTGGCCAGTCTCCAGCCTCGTCCTCCGTACCTTGCACGGTTGCTAGCGTGCTGTCTGCGGTGGAGAAGGAGCCCTGGGGCCACAGTCTGAGCTGTCTAAGCTGAACGACTGCAGGACCTCGGTGGCCTACACTGACGTGGTCACTCTTCCGTGACAGCTGCCCAAGAGAGGATCACACAAGTTCCCCAAACTTTCAAGTACATGTAGATAACCGGGGTGGTGGCATTTGCTTGTAGTGCCTGCACTCAGGCTGAGGCAGGAGGATCTCCAGTTCAAGGTCAGCCTGAACTATCAGCTCTTATCACTTGTGATCCAACCATGAGGACCAGAGAAACTGGCGATTAGGTCATGCCAGTGCTTCTCAGACACTTTTGTGAACGGGAATTATGGGAAAGCCTGTAGAAATCTAAATTCTGGCTGTGTTTTGAGGAACTAAGCATTCTACATTTCTAATACATTTCCAGGGGATTCTAGGTGACTGTTTGAGTGACAGGTCCCTATAGCTCCAGCTCAAAAGGAATTAAGAACTCTGACCACTAATGGCACTCCTTGGCAGAGGGTTCCTCCTCAAGCCCACCTGGCCACACTGTTTTTGAGAAGGGTTGGCCATTACAGACAGATGAAGGGATTGGGCAGGAAGAGCAGCAGAGATTTTAAAAATGTACCAAGACTCTAGCAGAACATTTAGGGCAGAGAGTGAGGCTTACATGGAAGCTGGGGAAGAAGTCTTGGAGAGGAGAAAATGTGAGGCGGGGCTAAGAGAAAGGGAAAACAGATGCTAGATAAGTTGTCTTGCCTCTACTTCCCTGCCAGAGCAGTTAAATATCTAGCAAATTCTCCACAAGGAGATCATCAAAACAAAAAAATCTGGGCCCAGGGGGCCTGCAAAGACTGATGAATCAGGCATGGAACATGCATAGAGAGGACCTAGACCCCCTGCTCAGATGTGGCCCATGGCTGCTCAGTCTCCATGTGGGTTCCTTACTAAAGGGGAGGAAGGGCTGTCTCTGGCATGAACTCAGTTGCTTGCTCTTTGATCACCTACAGGCCACAAAGGAAGAGGACGTAGGCAGTCCTGATGAGATTTCATAGGCTAATGGCAGATGGCAGGGGAGGAGGACCTCCTCTATCAGTGGACCAGGGGACAGGGCATAGGGAGGAAGAGGGAGGCAGGGTGGCTCCAGGTGGAGATGAGGGAGGGGCTACAATCCAGAAACAAAATGAATAAATTGTAAAAAATTAAAATTTAGAAAAAGCTGGCAAATTTCTCAGGTATAATCAAGTGAGCAAGATAAACATTTCATTTACATTTGAAACTTTTTCATGATGCAACTTGAGATTTAAGGCCTTACTGCTGTAACAAGTAGATATGATATGGTGCTTTGGCTCATTTTATTTTTATTTATGTATTTATTTATTTGGAGTTTTTTTTTGTTTTTCGACAAAAGAGTTTTTCTATGTAGTTCTGGCTGTCCTAGACTCACTTTGTAGACCAGGCTGACCTTGAACTCACAGT